ATAAATGTAAAATATTTTATGCAAGTATATTATTAATAGTAAAAAGAGTTGCAGATGAGGTTTGTAAATGTTTGTTTTGATAAAGTTATACACATTCAAAGACAAAATTTTTATGATTATAAATAATTTTGTATAATTAATTTTAAAAAATTAAAGAAGTTATCTAAGGTAATAATGTGTAAGATAAAATATTTTAAAAAATAATGTATTTAATGTAATAAAAGTAACATAACTATCTTGAAAGTAAGAATTATAGGTTTTCAAAATTAAACCAAACCATTTTTAAACCGTCAAACTAATTTTAAAAAAAGTTTAATTAAATCATAAATAAAAAATTGCATCATTAACTGCAGTTGAGTTTGGATTTCAGTTTGCGTTATTAAAATTAAAACAAACTGCACTGATTTGGATTGTAATATATTTATATTATTTTTTATTATATTCTCTCTCTCTCACACACACACACAAATTAATTCCAATTAAACTGCAAAATATTGATTTAATTTGATTCAATTTAATATTATATTTAAATTTAACTAACCCAAACTTTGATTTAGATGACTTTTAAAATAAAAGTTTAATCACAGAAAAATGTGAACACTCTCAAATTAGGATTTTTAGTTTTTTATATTCCATAAATTTATTTTATTTTAATTTATACTTTAATTTTGATATTTTTTCTTTTATTTTTTTTAATTATAATTTTTTTGAATATTTTTTACTTTTATTTCTATGCTACTTTTAATTGAGTCAGTACTATATTTTCTCTAAAATAAATTGTCAATTAATATCGTCAACTTTACTTATTACTTTCTTGATAAATGCATTTACAAATATCTTAATTTGAGAATAAACTATTGAATAAATATAGTAATTAATTAGATCAACACAATTTTTGTAATAAGAATAATTTCTTTTTAAAAATAGAAAAAAATAATTTTCCATTACTGAATTCATGAAATCATATTAATGATAAAATTAGTGACAACGTATATTGGAGAGGAAAATTTTCAATCATAAATTCTCTTGCTAACCATATCCTGGCTTTTATAGTGGAAAGCTTTTTTATGGTTTTTTTGGTACGGGTTATAGACTTAATGAATGTTATCTTTTAAAAAAATTTATCTACTTTTATTATAAAAAAAAAAGTTATTTTATGCTTTGATAATAAATTAAATTAAGTTTTGTCTAAAATAAAGTAAGTCAAAGTGTTTGTTATAGGTTTTTTAGGTTGCAATATATGCTTGACAATAGTGTGACTTTCTATGTTTGAGAGATGATTTTAAAGAAAAGAGATAACTCATAAGAGAATATATTTTTTAATTTTAAAGTGAGAAAATTATATATTATTTATAATGATAAATATATTCTTTATTTTAAAAAATTAATCTAAAATATATTAATTTAAAATAAAAAAAAAATTACTTTGTTTTCCCTTCTCCTTTCGATCACTTTCTTTCCCACTAAAGCTATCTTTTCCAAACAACTGTTAAGAGTTTTAAGTTTTCATTTTCTTATCTTGGGACAACAAATTTCAACAACTGCAATAAGAATAACTCTAACCAAATGACACTAAACTTGCAGTAACCCAGATATCTAGGAACAAGTATTTGATATTATCAAAAAATTCATTTTTAAGTAATTAAGATAAATTATATTTTTTTTTATTCTATAACTTACTACTAAGATTTCACGTTACATAAATTCCATGTTATCTAAGATCAGATTGAACATCTTAATCGATTTGGACTGTGAATCAAGCAGCTAATAAATTATGGTTTAGCACTATATATTATTGGATATTCATGTTGAACCATTTGAAAGTAGTTATAAAATCAAAGAAAAGCAACTTGCCATTATAATGGCCGCATGGGGAATACTTTGTTGAATCTACTTTTGAAAAATATTAAGAGTATGTTTGATTACTGTTTTCAACATAGATTTTTATTTTTAAAAATATTTTTTAGTACAAAATTATATTAAAAATTATTTTTAAAAACAAAAACTACTAAAAATTATTTTTAAAAATAAAAAACTGTTTTTAAAATAATAATCAAACATGCTTTACCGTTTCTCTTTTGCAGAATCGTCTTTTTTTAAATTCAATCAAGTAAAAAAAAAAAAAGTTTTAACTTAGTCTTATACAGGGTCAACAAAAATACTCTTTGGTTGAAAGGAATGAAAATGAAAAAGATAGAAATTTTGATAAAGGATTGAAATTGTTACCATAAATGGACCATTGAATAATGGCTTTTAATTTAACAAGTTAAGTGTAACGTGGCTAATATCAATTTAGACAACTTGTAAAATACCTTAATGTAAATAAAAGTTAAAATATTTATAAGTCTTTATATTAACAAAATTATAATACAATTCTTATATATTTTATATTTATAATGAAAATATTATTTTGAAAATTATAAATTAATTTAATGAATAAGAATTTGTTATAAAATATATTAAATAGATAACTAATAACAAAAAGAATTAAAATTACAAACAGATCAGTTTGTTTGTTTCATTTTACTTGTCCAGATCTAAGCTCATCTTCATCTCCTACATCTTCAGAATGCCCATAAACTTTGTCTTTTTTTTTCTTTCATTTTTCTAATTATTATGCTTAAAAAGATATTCATAAAACATATTAAGTAAATTGAACATATAGTACCCCGATGTGGGATATTCAATTGCAAGTTAATGGAACTTAATTTCTATTGATTTTCTTTGATGTCGTTGGATTTGAATTACAAATAGATTTAGTTATATATATATATATATATATATATATATATATATATATATATATATATATTATTCTACTACAGTCCCTAAAAAACCGGATGGTTTGGAGGCAATTCTTTTGAAGTCCAACACGGGAAAGGATCTTGGAAGAAATTTTCACCCGTGTCCATTTTTAAAATCCCCTCAGTTGAGATGCAACCAATGAAGAACCCCATCAAAAAAGACATTTATGGCCTCAACGTTGACATTACTAGAATATTCAGAGAGCTTGAAGAATTTGAAGAGTTGAAGACGAAGAAGTCATATATATATATATATATATATAAAGAAAGATACATTAGTATAAGTTTAAAAATTCTTAAATATTGATAAGCTAATGAGAATTAATTTGAATGGCAGAAGGCTGAATATCGTTTAAGCAATTCTCAAATTTGAATTTTTATGTAACTTAAGTTGGATCTGGATTAATCTAGATGAAAAAAAATTTAATAAGATTCTACTTAGGATAATAATGATTGCTTTCATAATAACTTTGTTGATGATTGGTTATCATATTATTTAAACATGCATTAGACGTTCAATTCCAATTTATATCATCTTGAATGGAATGCAAATTTTGTTTATGCTAGCCGATCTACAGATAAGATTATAACATAAGGATGATTGTTTTGAGTGCGATTATAGGACACTGACGGCAAAGAATCTAATAATTACTTGTTAATTATATTACAAACCACCCATATACACAAAATACAATATACCTTTTCCACTAACATACATGAAGAACACCCACAAAATATGTTCACCGGCTAGCAAAAGCATGACGAAAATTACAAATAATATCCTATTAAATACAACAAAACCAGTAAAATCCTCAATAACCAGCTAATATTTACAGACCACTAATAAACTCATATTTAGATAACCATGGAAGTACATGCTATTTTTTCACCTTCGCATAGTGCTCGATCTCTTTGTTGTAATGGCCTTCGGTGAGTATTCCAAGCCTTCTTCTATGGCATCAGTGAACAAAGAAGTCATTTAGTGGTTGGGTTGTATATCTAATATCGGAAAATATGTCAATGTTGTCCGTGTAACTCATGCTAAGTGACGCCAATTAGCATTTTTATTAATTCTTTCCTAGATTTTCCATGTCTTAAAATATTGGGAAATTAATTGTTGACGTTAACTCGTTGCAACATGCAGATAGTTGTTTGCTTTTGCTTATTCAATTCATTCAAATATTAGATTACATGCAAACTTGGTTAACGAGATTTTAATAATTTTTCAAACATATGCTATAATTGTGGTCTCATCCTACTATTCACCCTGTTCTGGACTTGTATTGTATCATAGATCATAGATTTATTTTTTTGTCAAAGTATATTGAATCACATATCCTAGAGAGCTTGGCTACCTCAAGGTGAGCCAATCAAGCTTTAATTCCGACCAACCAACATATCGACTTGACTTTGCTTGTAGAAACTTGAGGAGTCACACTACAATCATTCAAACAATTCATGGGCCATTTGGCAAAAGGCATGTCTATATGGATCCAGCTCACCTCAACAAGCTATTAGTCTCCCACACACAATATGGGAGATCATTTTCCTCCCACACGTAGACAGGTACGCTTATATTCTTCCTACATATTGTACCATGCCATCCTTAACTAGTGTTAAAGTGCCTTTGTAAATGCTCCTTATTTCTACTCAGCCCCACCAATTGGAGGCAAAAGCCACCATCACAATATTTTTTTGTATATATTACTCTTTAACAAGATTTTTTATAAAAATAGTTTAATTTTAAAATTTTTGTTAATTTCAATTCTAAAGATTAGAAATAAGCGAGTAATAATAGTAAAATTTTATTAAAAAGATAAATATTTATTATATTTTTATAATTTTATAATTTTAATATAATAATTATATATTTTTTATTAAATTTTTTTATTTATAGATGATTAAACTCAATTAACAAAACTCTAATTTTAAAGATATTATTAAAAAAATTTAAAAAAATCTTTTATCCAAAATATGATATTCAACATTACTAATACAATCATAATATAGATATTTTTTTTATTCAACATTCGAGTAAAAGCACCATGATTTAAATAGAAAATATTAGCTAATTTTTAAAAAGCACTAACAAAAATATTTAAAAATAATAATATTAATTTCAGAAACAGTTTTAGGTTTTAAATATCCGAAATTGAGTGTATTACGGTAAAATTGGGCAGAGAATCAGAACTTGGGACACTTGAATATTCATCGTGATCCGACAAGAAGAAAGAGACACCCCATATTGAATGGTGTCACTCTCATTGATCAGAGAACCCGACACATCAGCATTCATCCCCTTCCAAACTCCGAAATCTAAATATCCCTAATCTTCATTTCCCTCATCCACTCAAAACCCTTTTCAATGGCCACTCTCTTCAACTTCAACACTACTCTCAGCCCCTCTTGTTGTCTTCCCTCGTCATCTCATCAACTTGCTCCCTCACAATTCTCCAAGACACTATCAACAACTTTCTTTGCCCCAATCCAAAGCCTCAAACATGTTGCCACTGTCTCAACCAAACGTCGCCGTTCACTCTCCGTTCGCATGTCATGGGACGGTCCACTCTCATCCGTCAAATTGATCATACAGGGTAAAAATCTCGAGGTATGCTTTGCTATCATTTTTTTATACAACTTATTTTAAAATTTATTCAATAAAATTTGATGACTAAATTTATTAAAATAAGTTAAAACAACTTTTTTTTTTAAATTATCTGAAAATAGCTAGTGCTTCTAAAGAGGCACTAAAACAGAAAACCCTAATTTGAAGCTTTGGCCTAACCTGCTATATTATGTGTTGGTGTTTGTGTAGCTCACTGATGCAGTGAAGCAGCATGTGGAGGACAAGGTGGGGAAAGCTGTTCAGAAGCATAGTCATCTAGTGAGAGAGGTTGATGTGAGGCTATCTATCCGAGGAGGAGGAGAATTTGGGCGAGGACCCCGGACTCGTAGATGTGAGGTGGGTCTACTCCTCTTTTCAAGTTTCAATTTTGTTAATCTGGGATGGGATATGTTGCAGCATTACGAACTGGGTTGGAATTGAATTCGTTGATTCTTATTTGCTTTAGGTGACTTTGTTCACAAAGAGGCATGGAGTGGTGCGAGCTGAGGAAGATGCTGAAAGTACCTATGGAAGTATTGATTTGGTGTCATCGATCATTCAGAGAAAGTTGAGGAAGATAAAAGAAAAGGAGTCAGATCATGGTCGACACATGAAGGGGTTCAATAGGTTGAAGGTTAGGGAGCCCGTAGAGCCATTACCCTTGGAAGAGGACCAAATATCCCCACAGGAGGAGGAAGAATCAATTGATGAGGTTGGTAGTTATTACTTAAAACAGTTTTCAATCTGTAACTCATTTGCTTTATTGTAGTTTGATTTCTGATTTTGCATATCGATGTTTGACTCTGGTATATCCTAGAAATAGAGGTGAAAGTTGTTCTACATCTTCAGAATTGAGAATTTGATAGTATCTGGTTTGGTGAACTGTGGATTTGATGGGTGTTTTGTTGTGAATAATTAGAACTTGCATGCAAATTGGAAAACTCCTGTGTTATATGTTGTTAGACACGTTATTGCTTAGCATGAGATGGTGCTTTTCTCTTTATTTTCTTACGGTGCTCCTACTAAAGTTGTGAGTTGTCTTACAGGTTGTTCGCACAAAGTACTTTGACATGCCGCCATTGACTGTGGCTGAAGCAATTGAGCAGCTCGAAAATGTTGATCATGACTTTTATGGTTTTCGAAATGAAGAAACTGGTGAGCAATTTGCGTATAGCTCTTTCATTTGGCTTAGTAATTTATCTATTTGCTATCCTGGGAACTAAATGTTTTTCCTCTGTTCAGGGGAAATTAATATTGTGTACAAAAGAAAAGAAGGAGGTTACGGACTCATTATACCCAAAGGAGATGGTGAAGCAGAGAAATTGGAGCCTGTAGTAATTGAACCAGCTAAAGAACCCTCACTGAAAGAGTGAAATGCACTCACGAGAAACTCTTTTTCTATTAACATAAGAGCTTGTACATGATTAGCGGATAATGATGGCGATTTCTATGGAACCTGAAGTGCATAGGCAATTTCAATCGAGGCTCCGACATTTTAAAGTGCAAATCAAGTTTTATTGTATGTACACTTGGATGACTAGCGACTGTAAACTGAAAGAGATGCACCATTTGTGTGTGCTGCATATAATGTTCGGAATACACCTTTTCTCTAACAATGCCACCTACTTTCTTTAATCTTTTGGTTTTGTTCTGCTTCATGTCTATTTGTTATCTAGATTATACCATAACAAGTTAATCATTTTTCTCTTCAAATTTCAAACCTTTATAGAATTGTTGTCTAGCAAATTTTAATTTCTGCTGTGCAGAGTTGATTGGGTAAATGTTGACTGCCAAGAGAAATGCAAGTGATAGGATCACGATGAAACAAGGGTTTTCTAGTTAAGTGGCAAGTGATAGAATAAAATGGCTACAATTGTCTTTAATGGATCTTGTTATGCTGCTATACATTTGTCTTGGATATAGATTTAAAATAAACATATTTGGTTGTAATGCTATAAATATGCTAAGGTGGAAGATCTGTAAGACCCTTATAATTTGAGAGAATTATTGCAACATTTGTGACATTTCTAGTTACGGATGTTAAGAGTTTACAAGGAATGGAATGGTTATGGTAAGTGGATTAATGTCTAGCACAGTGTTGTTCATTTGGGCAGGGCTGGGAATTGAAAGGCTTTTGCTCACGGCAGAGGAAAGTTAGGAATTGAGTCGGTGAGATATAGTTATCATTCATTAGTTTTAGATTATATGAATTAGTGATGTTACAATTTATAAATGCTAAAATAAAACTCTTATTTGAGGTTATGTTACTTTATTTGGCAAAGAATTTTTGACGCAAACCTGAAAGTTATAAAAATACCATGATAAAAGGATTACGTTAGCCTGGTAGAGAGAGTCCGGATTTCATTATGTTTTTTGTGAATGGCACGAATAAATGAGCATTAGGTATACCAACAAGCATATACAAAATAACAAATGCATTTACGAAATATTGTCCTGATAGCCAACTGTAGGATCCAATGCCTTTGAGAGACTTTCCTTTTACCAAATACTTTTCCTTTTTGGGTACATTATTCGGGCCGATGGCCTAACCATCGAACTTGTAATCATATGCAGGAAAAATTAGTGATTCTTTTTTACAATGACTATCTATTCTGTCAGGTACTCCATCTTTTTGTCTAGAAAAGTAGGATGATTACACTCTATCATTTGCAGAAAGTTACAAAAATCGTATTCCGAAATGCTATTATCGAGAATACATATAATGGATTTCCCTGTAGAAGTGAGTTTGAAATATTTCCTTCCTTTAATCCTATTTTGGCAAAATTCCAAAATAAAACTTGGTTCCTCTTTTTGTTAAGTTAAATTGTAATAATTTCTTAAAAAAGCAAAATGAACATTTCCCCCCACAAGAAAATGCAATCTTAGTTTTTCATAAACAATTGAAACAATTTCAGAAAATTTCCAGAACCACGCCATTCTCTCCTGCCTTCCTCAATGAGACAGAACCAAAGATGCACACTATAACTTTTCGGTCAGTAAACATATACACAATAACCAAAATTCTAATGACAACAACATACTCTTGGAAACATGAAATCCTAGGTGTCTTTTATAAACAAATATCACTCTACCAATCGACAAACTATGAATCAATGTCTAACTGTGAAATTTCCTGCAGTCAAGAAAACGTGAACAAAATCTTCATTCTTAAATTTTATATTTCATACATTAATAAGTTAATATAATATGATAACAACAAAGTCTTATCTCATTAGGTAAATTTAACAACATGAATCATACAATCTCATTAGACTTGGTCAGAAACTACTTCTCAAAAATAAAAATAAAAAGTTAATAGAATATAAGCCAAAAAAAAAAAAAAAAAGTTGAACCATTGAACCATGAATGTAGGATCCTGTATTGTTTCGTTTACTTGTGCAAAACAGCATTGCACCATCCCAACCAAACAAAACTATCTTCATTGCTACAAGGAAATCAATTACTGGTCTGTCCATCCACAGCACAAAGAACAAATATGTTCAGCAGTTGCCAATAAAAATAAGGTACTTTGCATCAGAAAAATCTTACTTCTAAAACACTAGTCGCGACTGCCTCAATGACCACAATTGCCTGTCAACACCTAAGTAATGGCGATTTTAAGTGTTGAGGAAGTAGTATTATTACTCTTTCCACCAATGTTTCTTGGGAAAGGCTTCAAAGCACAAGGAATAAAACGGAAAAACAAGGAGCAGAAAAACTGACACAAAAGGAAAACACTTATTTTTCTCAAGATCGGCTATGGCATATGCCATTTTTCATTTGCCAGTGAATCTCTCATTGGAAACAGTTAAAAGCTTATTGATAGACATTCCTCCTCCTCTTGTACTCTTCTTTACTTCAAACCTATGCTTAATTCTGTCATCAAACTTGTAACCAAGGAATGCAGGAAAAACCAGTAACTCCTCAATGTCACGTTCCATCTCCTCTATCAAGTACTTCATCTTCTTCTCCAAAGAAGCATTATTATACTGCAGTATCTGTGGATGCTTCTTGGCCATAGCAACAATATCTTCACACGTAAGCCCATAACTCAAGAACAAACCAATGACCTTTCGCAAGTTCTCACAGTTTGTCCTAGTAGCAGACCTCATTGCCATTGCCAAGTCCCTTGTCCTATATCTATACCCAATCTTAACCAAAAGCACAAGCTTATGCACAATGTTCCCGTAAAACGAATGGCTTAGAAACAAGGGTGCTTTAATCAAGAACTTGAAGATATCGCCCGAATCCAATCCACAATCCTTGAGAAACTGTATCCTAGGACGCAGTTTCCTCTCCCTACTAGCAGTAACAATAGCTGGGAATCCAAGTATGATCCTAAAAATTTCTTGGTCACCAAGGTCAACAAAAGACCTCAGAAACTCTACATGTTCCTCCACATGTTCCACACTATAGTTCAAAAATGCAGGGAACCTAAGCAGCACTTTCCCAACACTATCATCATCTCCACCACTAAGCTCTGTCAAAACGTTGACTCTGGGAACAAGTTGACTTTCCAAATCGAAGTTCAAAACCGCAGGGCGTTTGAGAATCAAACTAATGCCACTAAAGGGTTCTAAGAAAGCTATGATTTTGTCAATTTCATCAACTGCCCTATAACACAAGGCCTTTTGCAAATTGACTTTGTTAAGCACGTGAACAACCTTGTAAACGGGAACTCCACGGTCAATGAGCAATTGAACCTTTTGAGGAAAACCCACCAAGAATCTTGGTTCTGTAGCAAAGAAAAGACGATTCAGTTGCTCTTTCTCAATTTCCCCTTGCAATTCGTCTCTGAGAAAGGTTAACAACGGGTCGATTTCTTTATCTGTTAGAACGGTTGGGCGCTTTGTAACTAACTGGTAGAGAGTGACACGATCGAACCCTAGAGAATGCAAAGATAGAAGGCGAGTTCGCAATGAGTCCAATGGCAGCGAGGTGAGGTCAGGGTTATTGGTGAAGAGCGTTTGCGTTTCCACGAAGCCAATTCCGATTTGTTGAAAGAGAGAAATGAAGGACGCTGAAACAAAACGAAACGAAGCAAATTAGGTGTTTGAGAAATTGACTCCGACGAGTTAGTTAGTTAGTGAGTGATTGATTGAGTGAGTTAGTTTATTCACCAATTTGGGTATTGAGAGTGGCGACGGAGTTAGTGCACCGGCGGCGGAAGAAGTGGTTGTTTGATTGTTGTTTTGTTGTGAGGGAGAAGAAGGGTTGAGGTTGAAGGGAGAGTTGAAAGGAGTGTGAAAGGTTTAGTGGGAATGGATGAAATGTGATTGAAGAACAGAGAGATGAACGGTTTGGGGACAGATGAAGAAGCAACATCGTTTTTGCGTTACGCCTCCGTAAGGTTGCTCTGCGCTTATAGCTTGTCTGGCGTCGCAAGGGAGGTGAAAATAGGTAATCACATCCCTCCAAATGATACCAAGTGAAAAACTGAGCATTACCTTCCCAAATTACTCTCTTATTTGTTTATAAAAGTGTAAATAATTAAAAAAGATAATATAAAAAATTTAAACATCTCTCGAAACATAAAAATAATTTATTTCTTTAAGTTATAAAAAATAGTTTCTAACAAATAAAAAAATATAAATTTATTTTATTTTATTTTATTTTATTTCTTTATAAAAACTTGTCACAAGTTCATCTCAACATGTATTGTCAATCTTACTTTTACTGTTAGGTTTTTCAAAATGATATAAACTCGATTTCCAACCTTCAGCATCCCACTTACAACTTGGTACAATACTTAGAAAATAGCTTTATGTTTCAATCAACATGACTTCGTCAATTCAACTTGTTTCCTATGTTTTTTCTCATGAGTTTTCTGAAAATAGAAAAAATATAAATTGTTCATAGATTTTGACTAGCCCTTTTTGCCTTGTATGTTATTTTTTCACTTATGCCAAAAAAGGATATTAATATCCACATGCTTTTCCAAGTTTTAATGCTCATTTTTGTTGCTTCTTCTTCTCATCTAAGGTGGACCCGTTTTTAGTTTTCTTGCTCTGCTCAAACCTGGTTCATTAACTATTACTTTCTTCTCTTTTGGTCAGATCTAAACTCGTCTCACACACTTTGTAGTTGTTCTTTACTTTCTTACATAATTTGAGTTATGGTAGTATGAATTTGAAAAGTGGAGAGGAAAACACTAACACTACTAGAAATGATGTCGTTCAAATGCAAACTTGACAAAATAGAGAAAGACCAAATCAGATCTAAGGCGTAAAAAATGACTCAGACTGTGTTTTAGTCAAAACTCATTTAAACTTATCCTTCTATACCATTTTTTTACATAGAAACACTTTTAAAATCCGATTGAAATTGACGTGTGCCCACCCCTAATCTACACCATTTTTTTACATAGAAGCACTCTTTTAAAATTAGAGTTATAGAAAATGAAGTAAATTCTCACTGGGTTAAGCATATAAGGGTACAAATTAATATGTTTATTTTTTTAAAAAAGAAAAGTTATTGGACCCACCACATTAATAAACAGGCTTCATAATGCTAAACCCTCAAAAAAGGTTTAAAATAAAATAAATAAAATGATGACGAAAAAAGAGAGAGATGTAAATATAATAAATAAACTGTAAAAAGGATATGTTAGATTTATTTTTTTACGGGATGATTTGGAATTTTTGTAGTTAACTATGAATGAATACTGTTAAATCTACAGTCAAATAGAGCTTAAGATAATTCCTTTTATTGGATGATAAATGAAACAAAAATTTAAATAAAAAATACAATAATTAGAAATTATATATTGTTTAGATGAATAAAAATTTAAAAAGTGAAAAAAATAACAAAATGTTATAAAAATAATTTTATAATAATTAAAAATAAATAAATTTAACTTTAAAATTTTATTATATATTTTTATTTTAATATAAAATTATTTATTAAATTTTACTTATAAAACAATAATTTTATTTTTTTAACATTTAAATAAAATTTTAAAAATTGCAGCACTTCATTGGCTGCATTTACCATCTTACTAGCATTGAAATGTTTTACACTTTGTTTGAATGAGATGAAATTAAAAAGTAGGAAAGAAAGCAAAGAGAAATTTAATATTTTTTTTCCTTAGTAGGAGTTTTTTTTTTTTAGTCCCACCATAAAAAATACCACCAAAATTTTAGGAAATGAAGGGTAGCAGGAGAGGGAGGGGGATGGGGGGGGGGGGGGGGGGACAATCGGGTTGGAATTTTTTTATATAAAAAATAATAAAATTTTTATTAAGAAAAATTAAAATTAAAAATTTAATTAATTTTAATTTTTAATGAATATTTTTAATACAATTTATTTATTTCTTTTACACTCTTTTACTTGTCTATATAAGTGTAAGAAACTTTTTATCATTTTTTCTTATTTCAACTCATCTAAGCATCAAATATTTTTTACTTTATTTCTTATTCTATATATTTTACCTCTTGGCCCAATAGACCATTAGTATGGGATTTACCAAAATAAAAACATTTCAACCCTACCAAATCAAATGAGAAAAATGGACAAACATGATGAATTTCATCCTTTGCTATTTCAATACAAGCAAACACAACCATGGTAAATAATGATAACTCTACCTCTACTTTCACATGATTATATATATATATATATATATATATATATATATATATATATATAACACTTGTACTCATTCTTAAACCATATATAAATACAATTTTTTGTCAATTTAACTATTAAATTACAATTATATATTATTTTTTGATAAATTATATCAAATTTTATCTAAATTAAACAGCTATAAAAATATAATTAAAAGGTCTATGTTCTCACATATTTCAAAAACATATATTACTTTATTTTTTATGTATAATAATAAGATATCAAATAATTTTAGATTGATTTAAAATTTTGCAAAAATCATGATTAAAAATTTTAATTTAATAATTGATTTTAAAATTTAATTATATAACAAACAATTATTAAACAGTATAAAAATAATATAAATTATATCAGTATAATTGAATCTTTATTAAACTATTACATATGTTTGGATGAATTTATTTAAAGAATAAAAATAAAAAAGAAAAACTTAGAACGTGATTAGAAATAATTAATTTTAAAGAAATAATTATTCAAAAATTATTTTAGGAAATTAGCAAAAATAAGAGTTTATTATTCAAACTAAATAAGACTAAATTAATGCATAGGAGAAAAATGTGTGAAGTTAATTGTTCAAAAGAATCTGCTCACTCTTAGGGTAGAGATAAATATTTAGGTATGATATCCACTCAAGATCTATCTTTATCCGAAGAGATATTTTGAACTAAGAAGAACGGAATGTGTTTTTAACAATATTATCCCTCTTTAATTTGAAACTCGTCATTTTGATCATCATAAAGGTAAAAAAGCCTTTATACGTAATTCCATTTTTCTTTTTTCCACTCTTCTAATTGTTAAAATATTTTTTTCTTATTCGCATTCAATTAGAGAGTATATCTTATTATTATTATTATTATCTTTTTCTCTATTTCTTTCATTAACCAAACAAAATATAAGACTAAAAAATTTTAAATTTTAGAGCCTTTATTTAAACTGAACAAAACGAAGTTTGTGAACATTAGATATATTTATTTAATTTAAAGTTCGATAAAATTACTTTTAGATTGTTGAGAGCAATTAAAGACTTCTTTAATTGCACCATAGAGATACGCTTTTAATCAATTCTCAAATCAAAACAAACATTCATGATATTTGAACATAAAATTCAACGCACCTCAAATGATAATGATTATTTTTTGTTGTGAACAGAATCAACTCTTCAGGATATACAAACAGCCACTAAAATGTATCTAAATTAATCTGAACTGTTTACGGTAAGACATTTTTCATTAAAAAGTACAATAATATATAGTTTAGCCTAAAAAGATTACAAAATTGTGTGCAGCAGGCAAATTATAATGAGTTTCTAGTTAAAAGAGTCAGACAGCTAGTATTTATAATGATAATATAATAATTTCAAAATTTTCCACATAGAGCAAAGACAAATAAGTTTGTTTTACATAGCCTTTGTAGTTTTTAAGTGTTCTAAATTGACCTTTATTGTTAAAACACTTGAAAATTTCTAGCAGTACTTTCAATTAGCCAATTACAAACTTCAAAATATAATCTTAAATAAAAAATCCTAAACATAGAAACCTAAAGATTAATTAACCTGCATTCTAACATACCAGCTAACATTATAACATAAATGTAAACCTGTAATAACAAATACAACCCTTCGATTATAGATCCTACTTAAATAATGATAAAAACTAATTATAATTTTGTCTTTTGTCGTTTTTTGCTCATAATGTCATCATCTGATTATAGTTTGTATGATGAGATAATTTTAATCCTTCTTCTTCCTTTTTTTATTTTTTACTTTAGCAACATACAGTTTAAATGTATGATCACTTGCAATCTATCAATGCTCATTAAATCCTAACCACTAGTTCATTCTAAATGGTTTCGCTGAACTTAAACTAATTCACTTTTGATAAGTATTATCTATCAGCTTCTGCCTAACACGAAGCAAATATCCCAATAGCAAACTACGAAAAGAAAAGCAACTTACGGCTTATATAAGGGGAAAAATTTCTTCCCAGTTAAGGAAAATGGAACCAAAATTTACAAGGTAAATATTTTGACGCTACAATGCATGTTTAGAACTCCAAATGTCACTTAATCCAAGCTCTTTTCAAGAGGACAGTTTTTAATAGATAAATGCCAATGGAAGACCAGTATGCCACTATCAAATAGCACAAAGACAAAGCCTGCATCTTAATTTGCTGCAGCCAAATTAAAATTTAAAGTTAATGACCTGTAAAGACGGAATTATTTTCTGACTCTCTTAAGTTTTGTTAAACTTTGTTTTTGTTCCTTTGCTCTTCTACAAGGGATGACTTTTATTAAAATGAAGATGTGTTTTCCTTTCTTGATTTTTTGGAAGACCTGAAAAGAGAACCACCAAGGTGTTATGGTCAATGTAGACACAAAAAGTACTTGGAGAGGGGAACTCAAAGGAAGAAGATGACCTATCTGGACTACCTTGTAGTCTAGATATATCAATCTCCTTTCATTCCCTGCACTTTAATTACTTTCTACCAAAATAGCCTGTTTAAAGCATCAAAAGAATAATCAGTAACCACAAGCAGCTAGTAGTAAGTCCACTTGCCTCCTTTTGGGATAAGTTAGATCATCTTTTGTATCTTTACAGGCTTCTCCGCTTTCATGTTGATTACATTGTCCCTGAACATGACAGCACAAGAAATATAAAAAATCCCATGACTGCACAATTGTATCTACTTGTAGCATACCACATCCATGAAATGTGTTACTAGCTCTAAGCAATGACTATAAATAAAACAACATTTTTTCATCCTGATTAATCGGCTTATTGTAACTTATTTCAAAGGTAAAAGGCATGCCATATAATCACTTGACTTACAAAGTGAAAAGAAACATGGTTCAGCATAATATACATTAATTAACGGATCAACTATATCAACTGATAGAACAAAGAGAGCAAATGCAAAGTGTTACAACTTATCAGTAAGTAGAAACAATCACATGTATCAACAGCTGTTGACAGAAATCTAGCTTGTTCTAGATCAAGGCAACATAGAGATGTCTTGTGAAAATTTCTCAAAAAGCTAAAGGGAAAGTTAGAGGGAGGTGTAGAGTGGTAATATCAAAACAAACTGAACACCAACAACACAATTTATAAAAATCTAATAATGCAAGAGTAAATTCATGCTGCATTGTAATGTCATGTGTGTTAAAAGCTAAAAAGTATGAAGAGAATACTATTCATTGGTATTTAATGCAATCATATCTTTTTAACGACAAGGAACAATTAAGGATAAAATTATAGATGATGATTAATTGTCTCCCAACGGTTGTGGGAATAACTTAAGCCAATTTAGAAAAATGTTTACGAAGAGCTAGTTAAATAGACAATGGCTGATAGAGAAACAGTGAAATGCATGTTAGAGTATTATTACTCTAAAATTAATTATGAACAGGATAAAATAGAAAGAAAATAGAAAACTGAGCTGCTTAAAGGCTTTCTCAGTAAGCTTGTACATAACAGAGTCTCCTACTCCTACCAGTAAAGTTAATCATAATGATGAACCTTCTTTTCATTTTACTGTTGGATGTCACGTGGTCTGTTCAACAAACAACAGCAGTATGTAGTTGAAAGAATCATCATTATACTTGTCTTTGAGAGAGAGGGCAAAACAAGGATATCAACAAATCAACAAGCCAATCTCAATAAGAGAATTAGGAGGCCATAAGCACCACATCAACCCCCATAGTTGCAAGACGACAATTTGCCCATTTATAGTTAGGATATATTTTTTTTCTTATATTTTCTTTCTCTATTAATTACGAAGCAGAAGGAGAATTGAAAATGCTATAAAATTCTGAAGAGGGTTGGCCTACAAGGAGCACTCTGATTCAGTACACTGGACGCATCAATACACAGAAAACTCTTAAAACATAGCATAGAGCTTGTGAGAATCCAATTAGAAGTATAAGTTTTTACCAAATTAAACACAATTTACCCATGTCAGCACCATAAGCATCTAAATGTCACCAAAAAAATGAACTGACATTTCTGATATTGTAACCTAAGTAAAATAACAATACTACCATGGTATAGCCAACCTTATCAAGTTTAAGAACAGAAATCAGAACAGGAAATTTGATGGTTCCTGAAACAAGCCTAAAAATAGAATGTTATAAACAACATAATAAAACTCCGGTGGAAAGGGCTATGAAATAGTGAGATAGATCCCATGAAATCATAATAAATAGCAAGGACATTAAACACTTTCCAATATTGCACTAGAAGTTGCAGTTTTATTGTTCACCAATAACCTTTCGTACGTGAGATGGTGAAACCACCATAAATAATTAAACGAACACTGATATTACCACTCCAAATCCCCACCAACACAAATCTTGAACAGCAAAGGAGTCAATCTGCCGAAACCAACATAAAATATAAAGATACCACCATTTTCCAAGCATGCAATAACGAACAAACAACACAAGACATTCCATAACAGCAACACCCAATGCATAAACACGCCAAAATAAAGCCAGCAGCGAAGGTCCTAGCACATGATAAGAGTAACACAGTTCAAAAATCAAAATTTCTATGCTTATACAGAGCGCTGACAAAATGAATTAGCAATGAATACCTTCCAAGTTCAAACCACAAAATAAAAAACATTCGACGGATCGAAACAACAAATATTTGTAGTAACAATAGCGACGTACGCTCTTACTTGGAGGTCTCAAATCCATTGACATCAAGTTCACGTGGCACGAACGTGGAATTGCTCTTCTTCTTAGCGAAGAACTTGGTCTTCAGTTTCCTCTCTCTGACTTTCCACACGTTGTTCTTCCTGAACACGAACTTATCCACCTTCCAACCGGGTAAACTCGTGTCGATCACCGTCACCTCGCTCTTCGTGAAACCCTTCAACTCGTTCCCCTCCTTCTCGTTCTCGATCTCATCCTCATCGCCGCGATCCGCGCCCACTTCATCCTCCTCGGGCACCACCGCATCGGCGCTGGGAGCGGCGGCGGGGGCGGCGGCGCTGCGTGTGTTGGCGGCGAAGGAAGCGACGAAGATTTTAGGGTTTGTCTGTTTCCTTGGGCATTTTTTGGAGGTTTTGGTGAGAGTGGCGCCCATGTTGAAGAGCTCAGCGAGGACGGAGCTCATTGGAGGGTCGCGGGTTTCGGATTGACGGGCCTGGGGCGGGATGTTGGGGCGGGCCTGTGGTGAATGGGAATGGGCGGTGAGGAGGAAGGAGTCGAGGTCAAGGTCGTCGCCGGTTGGGATGCCCTTGTTGGACCGGAGGCGGTCGAGCCAGTTTGAACCGGATTTAGCGGTTTGAGGCGAGCAGAGCATTGTCGTGGAACGGAAGATGGAAGATTGTGGAATTGAATGGGGATGCCAAACAAAGGGGGAAAGGGATAGTGCTCAATGCGCGTCGTTGCTCGTCGGTGACTGCCACGTGGACGACAATATTACTAGCTGCTTGTGTTTTGAAATTCAAACACACACTCCTACACTACTTCTACTGTTCACTCACTTGTTCCTAGGAATGGGTTTCAAGCAATGTTCCATATTACCCCATCATTAACCTTTGGATCATCCCACAATTTTTTTAGTGTGGTTAATCTGTAAGTTTTGTTTTGCCCTGGTCTAGTAGAATTGATAAAACGAATTTGTCCTATTAAATTAGTTTAATGCACTTAATAAAATGTACAACTTAATTTTAAAATTTGAATTAAATGAAGTTAATTTACCTTCATTTGAGTAAGTTTGATGCTGACTACACCCAAAAACAAAGCTTAAAAAAAAGTTTTACAGCCTTGAACATTTTTTTATAAATTTAAATTAAATGTAGTTTTTTTAATTGGATTCACTAAAATTCACCATTCATAATTGACTGGCGTGAATATTTCAAATAACTCATTTTACCAACTTTGAGTTAAAATTAAAATAAGTTATAGCGAGCCTGTTTGACAAATGACAACTCTAATAAGAGTTTCAGGAATCTTTCCACATCTCTAACAAAGATTATTTGAGGTCATACCTCTATTATCCTTTCTTGGTCTCTATTTTTTTAATATTTTGTAATGCGATCTGCCAAAGAAACATCTTTCCACGTAGAAGGCCTTACCATTTAGCAGCTGTGTTTGATACGTAGGCTTATTACTTTATAATAGAGTCTATTAAATAAGATATAAATATATCTTTGACTAGGTTAACAGACCTATACTATGCAAGCTATAAATTTTAAGTCTGTCATTGATTATTTTTTAAAATCTTATTTCTTATATTTTATCGATAATTTATAGAAAAAGCAATTATTTGTCTATAATTAAGTTAAGGCAATCATGTAAAAAATTATAGAAGTGTACTGAAGTATATGATTGCGGATTCCCTTTGTACTGGATTCCCCAATTTTCTGCTCATATGTATATTTCCCCCGTCAAGCAAAACAAACACCAACGAGTTTAAAAATTTAAGAAGTGCAATTCGAAAGCTTCTTCATAAATTAATATATTAAATTTTCAATAAAAATGTTAGATTTAGATTCAGTAATTACAATTAGTGTGCTTTCCGTCTTGATTTTATCCACCTCTAAAACTTTAAACTATAAATAGAAATAATGAGTTGTGAAATTCACTGGTTCGTGTGCATAGTTAAACATTCCATATTAATTAAAACTTTTATTTCCTTGAACATATCGAGCGTGTCAGTGAGCTTACAGACAGTGTAGTATAATTTAATATCGTACAAACTTATTTTAAATTGTTTGTAATAATGGGTTGCAATAATTGTATTTTAAGATTTTGTGGGTACAGCAGACCACCTTTTTGCTATCATATGTGCTTAAATGGCCAGAATGCAGCTACATCATTTTCTCAACGAAAGATTATGTAGAAAATGCAAGGCCACATTCTCTATCATGTCCCTGTCAATTTGGCAAGCTAATTTGTTTTTATCCCTTCTTTGCCACTCGATGAGACTGTTTTCGTTGTTTTCTATATATTATTAATTAATTAGCAAAATATATTTTCTTTTCTTTTGGTAGGAAGAAAGATAATTGCTCTGTTTTAAACCTTGCAAATCTAGTAGAAAATCTACGAATGATTATGAGTTGGCCCACAAATAGTAGCACAGGCAATAGCAGCAGAGAGAATCGGTCTCACGCTACCCAGTATCAACAGGCTTTAAAATTGTGATTTTCACAACCTATAAAAAGTCAATTATATCTGCCTAAATATTTTTCTTTTTAATTCAATATCAGTTAAATTAATTAAAAAATATATCAAGCTTACATTTCCTTTGTAAGCACCGACGATTCTACAAGAAACTGCATTTACACGTGGGATTACTTTTTCACAAAATCCTATTATCATTAGGTGAAGTTCATGTTCCCAGTAATTATGTTCTAACTCTTACTAAACATGGCAACAACACAAAAAAACAGAAACAAAAAAGGAACATCACAAAAGAAACAGTAGTTTGTTACTATAGCTGAGATGAGATGATATTATAGATTAAACTCCGCAAGCTATTATGCGTGAGACTGTGGAATGCTTGAAAATAGTGTTGATAATGGAAACGTTGTTGCATAATATTGTGTGTAATGTCAGCTTCCACATTTATTGCTACAGACAATGCGGCTAGCATGTGCTCCCTTTATAAATCCTTAATCACAATGATGTGGAACATGGTAGGTGTGATGTGGATATCTTTCTCCCTTCTAATTATGTAACCTGAGTCCTCGCTGTCCTTTTGGTCTAAATGCGTGTTTCCATTCAGGAAAATAAGCAGAATTTCAAAACCGTGTTTGATGACTTTTCACTCCAAAGGCCAAGCTATACCCAGTTTAATGTTGCATAATTTATGTTAGCACAAGTTACAACATACGTTGACTTAACATATAATACTCAACTCAACATATTCTTTGATATATTATTTTAGTATCTACGTTGATTAAAATTTATACAAGTTCTATTGAAGGGTTTGGTTATTTATTTCGTTTAATAAAATTTACATAGACATCATTTAGTATAAAAATGTTTTAAAAACTGTGTTGTTAAATTTTTCACATTCTAATCCCACGCAAGGCATGCATCAAATATCATTCTTAGTTAGGGATCAATTCCCTGTGTCAACGATCCACTGTGGTCTCTTCAAACTTTAAATTAATGAAAGACTTATACCAATTATATGATATGTTGTTCATAGTTTTACCATGCCTCCTATTTAGAAGGCATAATTTAGACTTGACTCTCCAATCTCATACATTTATATGGACTAAGAATTGAAATGGTAAGTATGACAGGTATCTATATTGACCCGGCAATTAATTAAATATCAATTGGACGTTATAGTAATGTGAATGCTGCTAAGTACTTCAACAGCTTTTACTGATTCACAAGGTCTTATTTTCCTTTCCAATTTAGTTATCTTTCCTACGCTTTATTTCTCTATATTTAATTGTTTCTCTGTAACCATTTTGTTGATTATATATTGACCATGATAGTTAAAGAATAATGAATAAAATTTTACTAAAAATCATAATTTGTTAGATTAATAATATTAAATATAATTATTTTTATGAAAAAATATTTTTAAATTACTCTTATTTTTTAAAAAATCATTGTTCTTAAACTAAGAAAGATATTAACACACCACTAAGACATTAGTTAACAAAACTTCTAAAAATTAAATAATTCTTAAGATATTGGTTAACAAATCCTCCAAACTAATAATTAGCTTAATTATTCAATGTGATGATATTATGTTAGAAACAATAGTGATATTTAAACAAACAAAAGATTAATGAATTGGATAATAAAAAAACAATGGTTATCACTTTTTTTTTTCTTCTTTTTCTCTTTCTCTCCAAATTTTTCCTTTCTCTGTTTGTTGTCTCTATCTCCTGTTAAACTAAACACATGTACATTTGGGTTAATTTTATTTTAAAAAATATATAATTTTTTAAAAAATAAGTTTAAAAATTACTTTTCCCTTAAAAATTACTAATAAGGAACCGATTATTAATTTATTATGCATTAAGTTTAAATGGTTTTATTTGTACGTGAGATTACCTTACCTTCGTACATATTAGATACATTAAATTGATTAAGTATTAAACTAATATATTTTAAAATAAGCCCTTGAAAGGACATATTTAAATACATAGTTTATGCCCAAAAAAATATTCGAGTCATAGATGACTGATAATCACTTCAGCTAAATATTAACTTTGGATAGTAAAGAAGTGAGATTTATTTAACGATCATTTAAATGTGAGGTGTGAGCAAATATTTTTGTACGAAACTAGTCCTAATTTGTCGAAAATGCAATACATGAGAGCTTCTTTGATTAGAAAGCACAAAAAAGTCAAACCATTAAACATTGTTTTGCATGATTTTCGAATATTACACATTCAAATGTTAGAGCGTTAGAAAACACATACAAAGAACGTGTATACTATTTTTTTTTTATAAATTTGATATATTTAAATAATTTATTAAAATAATTTTTTTTGATATAATTTTTTGTACAATCAATAATTATTAAATAAATATTTTGATTAAACTATTACCTAAACACATCTTTAAATTCTAACCATACGTTGAATGTGGAATATATAAGGTGTTTACTCCATTTTCGATTACAAATATTTCTTTTTAATTAACATAAAGAGAGTATATAAAGTGTATAACAGTTATTTAGACTCTCATGTTATCTCTGTTCACCACACGTTTCAAACGAAAACACGAGGTCAATCTTCTTCCTTCAAAATTTCAAATCAAATTATCATAAACTCTCATTGAAGCTTTTCATTTTTTTTTTCATGCATGCTGGTAGTGAATGTTACCCCCAATTCAAATCACATAATATAATATAATATAATACAAAGATTCACCAACCAAAACTGGTCGGTGCGGCAACCGGAGATGGTTCGGGTCCAGAAATTTGGTAAAGTGCCACAAAGAAGAAAGGGAAGAGTAAAAGTGTCTTGCTGGAGCAATTTGAAAAACAAAAAACAATGCAGACACGAGGGAAATGAAGAAGTGCAATAAAGATTGTTATAATATCACGGATCATTATATTATTTTTAAAACTTTATATTTTTATTAATTATTTTATTTATTTAATATTTACTAAATTATATATTTTTAAGAAAGCATTTTTATGTAAAAATTTCTTACTTAATTTCATTGATTATGAGTTCATATTTCAAAAATAAAATTTAATGATGATTTTATATTTTATTAAATTTTATTTAATTAGGATGTTGCATGAAAATTTATTGAAGTAAATACACTTTCTATCAACTACTTATTTCTATCTTAAAAATATTTTTAAAAAATGAATATTTTATTTATTTAATAAATAGGTAACTAGTAAAAGATGTCACAGGAAGATTTAAGACTACTTTTTAAAAAATAATTTTATTATATAAAAAATAAAAATATTTAATGCTTATGTTTGTTAGTAATTTAAAAGTTTACAAGGATTTGTTCAATAATTTTTAATGTATGTTTAAAAATGTAAAATAAAAATTAATAAATAATAAGTTTTATTGAAATATAATATTTAATAATATTATAATATTTAATAATATTACTATATTTAATTTTAAAATTTTTATAAAGATTTATTTTGTATAAATTTGTAATGTTTAATATTTTAAAATCCATGCACTTAGTGAAAAAAATATAAAAAGAAAAGAAAAGAAATACTTTCAGAATCCTATTAACAAAATATAAGTTATTAATTTTAGCAAAAAAGAAAAGTATAAGTTATTAATGGTTACATTAAATGCATGTTTAATTTATTTTTTTAGAAATAGTTATTTACTTTTAATACCTTTGTTAAAAGAATTTTGAAAAACAAGTGAATATTTAAGAAAAGAAAAATTCTTTCTAAATGTACACTAAATTAATATACTAACGAGCTGACATATTTTTTTGAGTAGTAAAACCCAAAAAAGAATTACAAATGGACTGTGGCGTGTGAAGGAACGTTGAAATAATAAAAAATGCAAGAAAAACGAGTTTGCGAAACGTGAAAAACAAGGACTAAGAAGGAAAGGCTTGGCATAGCCATAAAAAACCAAGCCCTTTGAATGGCCTCCACTCATAAAAAACCAAGTCTCATTTCCCCACAACCAACGAACAATTAAACAAACACCCTCAACCTCAATTTGACAAACGTTAGACTTCAAAGTTCCAACCCTCGGTTCCATTTCAACATCACACTCCCATTTCACACGCATCACTCCGTCACCACCACCATTCTTTTTATGTGATTCCCCTTTCTTCACCCTCATTCGCTCTTCAAACACTTATCCCTTTCCATCCACCAATAGTCACACCCCTCACAACGCCACCGCCTCATTACGGCGTCGTCTTTGCGCCAAACCCTTTTTCCACCCTTCCTGTCTTAATCAATCTACCCCCCTTATCACCCAACACCCTTTTGTCTTCTCTTCCTCACAATTTTCGCCAAATTTCTCCTCTTTTTGTTTCCTGTGCCTGATTTTTCCTCTCCTAAAATATTCTTCAGCTCCTTCTTCTTAACCCCCTTTTAACTTTTCCTTATCAGTTTCTGCCAAACTTGTTCTATCAGGAAAAAAAAGAAGGGGGAACTTTTGATTGTTGAGAGCTGAATATATTTTGGGTGTGCCTTTTTTAATTCATTAATATTTTTTTCCTTTTAAACTCTTGTTATGGCTTTGCCACAGTCCTTTTATGATATATTGGAAAACCCTGCAATTTGGGGTTTGTGTACAGCTATAGGCATGTTTTTTAGTCCCTTGTGGGTAGCATTTTCCGTTGGTGTTATCGTTGGATGGTTGTGGAAACCGAAATGGGCGAGTTTGGGGAAAGAAAAATTGACTAATTCTCTTGCCAAGTCCTTGGATTTTGCTTCACCATCCTCTTCTTTTTCGCCTTCAAAATCTGTAGTGTCTTCCATCAAGAGTTTTCCTTCCTCTCCTTGCCTTAATTCTATTAAAATGCAACCTCCAAATCCAGAATCTTTGGCCCTGAATAAAGGGATGGATAAAAAGGCTTCTACCTCCTCATCACCCATGAAATTTGTTAGTTCCGGAAGGTACTTTTGCATTATCGGTTGCTTTGTTATTTGGATAAATTTAAGATGTTAAATACTAATTAATTTCTCATATCAGAATTAAACCCATCTATGAAATTCAGACATGTTGCCTTTAGTTTGTGACTTTTTATGGCAGCTTGGTTTTTTGTAATTGAAAATTTGGGAATCTGGATATTGAAGCACCAATTACTCTGGCAATGAACATGTGATATAAGTATGCCATTTTATTTATGGTTTTATTGTACTTTACAGCACACCGAAATCCAGCGAAGAAATTTCTGATGCTGTTAGAATAGACGATTTACATCATCTATGGCAGCTTGTGGAAGAGAAAGATGGAGGTCTGCCTTGGATACAGATGATGGACCGTTCCACCCCTACCATGAGTTACAAAGCATGGCGCAGAGAACCAAAGGTATGAGACTTTTTTGGTTTCCTTGCTAAATTGAGAAGTGTTATTCCTTGAATCAATTTCAAATGATTGTTTGTAAAATACAGTTGAAGATTGATGTCACTTTTATTTCCAATATCTTTTGGTTTTATTCTAGTTGCTTATTTAATTTTCTTTTAATTTTTGTCTTGTGGATTTGTTAGGATGGTCCTCCTCAATATAGAAGCAGCACTATTTTTGAGGATGCTACCCCTGAGATAGTGAGGGACTTGTTCTGGGATGATGAGTTTAGACCTAGGTGGGATGACATGCTTTCAAGCTCCTCAATTATTGAAGAGTGTCCCACTACTGGTGCCATGAAAGTGCAGTGGATACGGAAGGTGCAAAACCTTAACTTGATTAAGCTACTGAACTGCAATTAGTTGTTGTCTTGGTTCATTGTGCTAATGGATGCTAATTATCTGTGATACAGTTCCCCTTTTTCTGTAAAGACAGAGAATACATAATTGGTCGGAGAATATGGGAATCTGGAAGATCTTATTATTGTGTGACTAAGGTATGAGAATAAAGTTCACTTTTTCTTGTGGAATATTTGAAGATGTTGATTGATGATGGCTATATTTCCTCTGTATTATTACAGTGTTGTTCTTACCTTCTTTCTGTTTTATTTGTTCTTTCAGGGAGTAGATTGTCCTTCAATCCCAAGAAGAGAAAAACCTAGACGTGTTGACGTGTACTACTCCAGTTGGTGCATTAGAGCAGGTTAATTTTGACTCATCTTTGTTATTCAATTACTCATATAACATTTGTATAAACTACTGTTCCTTCACTACTAAATTTGTTGTGACTGATTTGATGTTTCATTTGACAGTGGAATCAAGTAGAGGTAATGGCCAGTTAACAGCCTGTGAAGTTTTACTCTTCCATCATGAAGAAATGGGTATTCCATGGGAAATTGCAAAGCTTGGAGTACGGAAAGGAATGTGGGGAACTGTTCAGAAGATTGAGCCTGGTTTGAGAGCCTATCAAGAAGCTAGATCCTCAGGTGCTGCACTGTCTCATTCAGCCTTTATGGCCCAAGTTAACACAAAAATAAGCCCTGAGTACTTGGAATCCATTGGAGCTTCTGAAAATTCATTGGAGAATCAAAGTGTGGTTGCTTCTGACAAGCCACAAGGCGTGAACATACCCAAGATGCTTGTCATTGGTGGTGCTATTGCTCTTGCATGTAGTCTTGATAGGGGACTAGTGACCAAGTATCTTATATTTGGTGTTGCTAGAAGATTTGCTAATATAGGTAAAAGATAGTTAAAAAATAGAGGTGGAAGCATTGTCTTGAATGCCATTCTTTTGGAGGATCGACCTTATCCAATTCTACTCGAGTTATTGTTACTTGAGAATTTAGAGGTTCTTTAGTGGAGAAATAATCTATAATCTAAAAATAAAATCAAGGGTAATTGACGATTTTTTTAACCCTTTTTTTTCTTGGAGCATGAGTAATTGCTGGTCAAGACTGCAGAATCTCAATGTTATGTATGGTTGTATAAAGTCAGTAGCTTAAAAAATCAATTTTATTAGTTCTCTTGTATAACTCTTTATCAATGTTGGTGCAAAGAGTTTACGAATTCTGTATACTCGCAGTAATGGCATTAGTCTATTAATTTTGACATTGTTTCCTTTTTCAGATTTTGTTTGCTGTGTTAGGAGCTAATGAGTATTAGGTTCCGTCATCTTCTATTTTGGATAGTTTTTTCACGCAACGACCTCTGCATATTTTCGATTGATTCATCGTTTTGCAATTAGTTCAAGTTAAAAAAAAAATCCAATTTAAATGGGCAAGATGGGATCTGTTATTTAAAGGATTTTAAAAAATAATGAAGTGTGTTTTTTGTAATGCACAAGTATTATTAAATTAAACTAAAATTTTTAAATAAAAAATAAAGATGTACTTGATGGTTATTTTAAATTTAATAAATTTTTAAAATTTAAAAATAAATATTTTTATTGATAATAACAACTATTTTATTAAATTACAAAAATTAAATTCAAGAGAGATAAGATTTTTAAAATTAAAAAACAAATATAAAATTCAAATTCAAATTAAATAAAATAAGTCATATTTTATAAGCAGAAAGATAATCGTTCTTAATAACGATTTGATTGAAAAAAACTTCTAAAAAGGTGCTAGTTTAATATCGAAGATTTAAATTTCAATAAACAGAAGGAGATAAAAGTAAAAAATAACCTATAAGAAATATCTAGTTTATCATTAAGCAATCAGCACAAGAAACAAACAGCACCAAGCGAATTCAACTCCTCACTGGCTCACTATGGTTTCAAAACAATGCAAGCCATCTAGCTCTGGTGCAAATCGCAGCATTGGAGGGGCCTTCACTTGTTCATTCACTTCTGCTATCTTTTTTGGATTGGATACCGAAGATCCTTGTTTCATTCCCTACAGATGAGACATCTTGAACTTTAGATACACAAAACAAAAAATAAAATAAAATAAAATTCCTACGTTGACACACCCTAATGTTGAAATGCTGATAAAATAATACATATAGCAGTTTTTTACCTTGTTATGGCTCTTGTTTATGAAAGAGAGTCCAGCAGCAGCAGCTATAGCAGGCACAGCATAAATGCTTCCTCTAGCCATTGAAAACTTAATTCTTGGAATGAACAACTAGCCTTTCAGCCAAATATATTGTAAGAGTGCACCTAAACACACACACACACACAGAGAGAGAGAGAGAGAGAGAGAGGGAAGATTGAGAATGAGAAGATCCCTTGTTATGAAGAGAAGCAAACAATGATCTATAAAGATGGGCAATGAATAAAAGGCAGTAAGGTTTGCAATGTCATTAACTTTGTGAAAAGTAAACTTCAAATGGCAGGAACAGTGGGAATATATGTTACTCAACAACGCCTCCTTTTTTAAGGACAAATAGTACTAACAACAACAGATACAGTAGAATAAACAAAATAGATTTTGTATCTAAAATATATTAAAGTAAGAAGATAAATAAAAACAAATGGGAGGGGGGGATGAAGATTCTGAAACTTTACCACGAAGAGTACACGGGTAACAAAGCAATTTACGTATCTTTAATTTGCTAGACAAGTAATCAGATGAAGAAGAGAAGTGATTCCTTTGTGTCCTCTTGGTGTAGCAACATGCTCGTATTTATAACATGCAATATGTAATCAGTTAATTTGAGATAGAAACAATATTATTATCACTATACTGACCGTCCGTTTTTATTTAACTTTATCCACTAAACAACCACTTTTGGACTTTTGGATTTTATTTTATCTTCTAAGACATTTGAAATAGTTTCACTAAGTTATACTATTCAAAATTATTCATCGCCTAATTTCATCTTTTAACAAAATTTAAATATGGCTAGCAGTTAATAAAAAACACTAAATTTTATTCCACAATTTATATTCTAAACAAAAGATGCCTTATTAATCGGAAAAAAAAGGCCTTATTCACGTATTATTTGATTTATATTATAAATAGCCCATACAATATATGAAATTTTTGTTTTAAATATAAATTTATGTGCATAAGTTATTTTTTAAGGATTAATGATTTTAATATATATATATATATATATATAATATCAAATAATTTTGTTTCAATATCCAAATTTAGATATCGATGAATATGATTGAAAACTTTATCTTAATAGTTAATTTTATAATTAAATTATCCAAACGATATAAGAAAGTGTAACTTATATCAATGTAATTTGATACGCACACATACATATAAATGATAAGAAATGTCTTTACTGTTAATAGAAAAATTTACGTTTCACTAAATTAAAAAATATAAAAATTAATATAACATAGTTGTGGAAATTTTTTATATGCTAAATAATTTGTTCATAAAATATTATATATAATTCGTGACAAGAGCGTTTTTAGGAGTTTTTTTTAAAATAAAAATATTTTTAGGGATATGATTTCTTTCTTATCATGTCAAATGAATTTTTTAAAACTAAGTATTTATATTTTTATTTAATATTTATATAATTTTTAAATTTTATCTATTTATTTATTTTAATTTAGTATAACAGAATACTTATTATTAATAATTATCATATTTGCTACTTTTAAAATTTATAAATTTTATTAAATTTTAAAATAGTTTTACAATATTGTTTATTTATTATTTTATTTTTAAAAATAGACTATTGTATATTTCAAAATCTAAACATCTTGTTTGACGCCAAACAAATTTTATGAATAATTATGTACAAAATTAAGTGACACACATATTAATGATATTCAAGTAATAAATTAAAATAATAACGTAACGAATTCAATAGTGCTCTAATATTTAAAATTAGTTTAATTAAAATCTTATAATTTCTATAGCTTAAAATATAATTTGTTTAAATTTTTAATTTAAATTTAAAAATTTATTCTTTACTAATTTGTTTATAGTTTTAAAGGTGAAAGCGTCGTCTTGAATGCGATTCTTTTGGAGGATCGACATCAAATATTGCACTTGTGTTTTGTTACTTGATAATTTAAAAGTTTTTTATTGGACGAAATAGTCTATAATTTAAAATTAGAACAAAGGGAAATGGGAAGTCCCGACTTGCTAGGAGAGGGTAATTGACAATTTTTTTAAACCCTTAGAGCATGAGTAAATGTTGGTCAAGATTACAAAATCTAAAAGTTATGTACGTGTTTATTTATTTTAAAATTTGGCTATAAAAATAACTAATGATTAATTACTTTAACACCTTAATTAAAAATTATTGATTTGACTAAAATATTAGTTAAAATAGTAGTTCAATAACAAAAGTGACTAAGTTTTGGTCACTTAACACCTTAATTCAAGGGTATGTGATTTGACTAAAATATTGGTCAAGTAATGGTTTAGCCATAAAAATAGTAATTATAACTTTATATAAATAATTCAATTAAAGTATAAGTTTTATCAGCTCAACTAACCATAAAAGTAATTAAGTATTGAATATTTAGAATTTCAGATCAATGATTTGACGAGAATTAAGTTCTATTATTTTAACTAGTTATAAAAGTAAGTTAAACACTTTGAATCTTAGATTAGTTATTCAACTAGAATTTAAGTTACATTAGTCCAACTATTAGTTTTCAAGTCACATGTGTGAAGGGAATTATTAAGGAAAGAAATCTTACATTGTGTCTAAATAATATTAAAGCAATTTTTTTTCTATCTTGAGCGCGGGTTTTTCTGGTCTAAGTATATCTTATTTTTATCACGAGTTATTTTCCTTAGTTAACAATAATTGTAGTTTTGCCAATAGCTGGAGGTTCCTTAATTTTCTTATTTCCTCACAAAGGAAATAAGGTGATTAGGTGATATACTATTTGTATATGCTTAACGGATCTCCTTCTAACAACGTATGCATTTTGTTATCATTTAGAATTGGATGATCCACTAATTCAATTGACAAAGAATTATAAATAGATCTATTTTTTTTACTTTTACTGAAAATTTGGAATAGATGGACTCTCTTTAGGACCCATTTTATTGACAGATTTATCACTACTTTAGCTACGTTAGCAGCTCAGCCGGTTACTCGAGAATCACCATTTTTTTATTTCCTAATGTTAGCAATGATAGTGGTCAAATAGAATCATTTTCTTCTCAAGACATTTTACTTTTTTTCATCATGTGAGAATTAGAATTAATTCCCATTTATCTACTTTTATTCATGTGGGTGGGGGGGGAGGGGAAGAAACGTTTATATTCAGCTATAAAGTTTATTTTGTACACTGCAAGAAGTTCCATTTTTTATTAATGGGAATTCTGGCTATGGGTTTATATGGTTCTAATGAACCAACATTAAATTTTGAATCATTAACTAATCAATTGTATCCCATGGCGCTGGAAATTTTCTATATGGGATTTTTTATTGCTTTTACTGTCAAATCGCCAATTATACCTTTCCATACATGGTTACCAGACACCCACAGGGAGGCACATTACAACACTTGTATGACACTTGTATGCTTTTAGCCGGAATCTTATTAAAAATGGGAGCATATGGATTGGTTCGAATTAATATGGAATTATTATCCCGTGCTCATTCTATATTTTGCCCCTGATTAATGTTATTAGGTTCAATTCAAATAATCTATGCAGCTTCAACATCTCTTGATCAACGTAATTTAAAAAAAAGAATAGCTTATTCCTCAGTATCTCATATGGGTTTCTTAATTATAGGAATTAGTTCTATAAGCGATACGGGACTTAATGGCGCTATTTTACAAATAATCTCTCATGGATTTATTGGCATTGCATTTTTTTCTTGGCGGGAACTAGTTATGATAGATTACGTCTTCTTTATCTCGACGAGATGGGCGGAATGGCTATCCCAATGCCAAAAATATTCACCATTTTCACTATTTTATCGATGGCTTCTCTTGCATTGCCGGGCATGAGCGGTTTTATTGCAGAATTGATAGTTTTTTTTGGAATAATTACCAGCCAAAAATATCTTTTAATTAAAAAAATACTAATCACTTTTGTAACAGCAATTGAAATGATATTAACTCCCATTTATTTATTATCTATCTTACGGCAGATGTTCTATGGATACAAGCTTTTTAATACACCAAACTCTTATTTTTTTTTATTCTGGGCCATGAGAATTATTTATTTCAATTTTGATCCTTATACTCGTACTATGTATTGGTATTTATCCGGATTTCATTTTCTC